GAGCTGGTGTACTTGGTGACAGCCTTGGTGCCCTCGGAGACAGCGTGCTTGGCCAGCTCGCCGGGCAGCAGGAGCCGCACGGCCGTCTGGATCTCCCGCGAGGTGATGGTGGAGCGCTTGTTGTAGTGCGCCAGGCGCGAGGCCTCGCCGGCGATGCGCTCGAAGATGTCGTTGACGAAGGAGTTCATGATGCCCATGGCCTTGGACGAGATGCCCGTGTCGGGGTGCACCTGCTTCAGCACCTTGTACACGTAGATCGAGTAGCTCTCCTTGCGGCTCTTCTTGCGCTTCTTGTCGCCTTTCTTCTGCGTCTTGGTCACCGCCTTCTTGGAGCCCTTCTTGGGCGCGGGGGCGGATTTAGCTGGCTCAGGCATTTTAAGACCGTTCCTATTCTAGAGAGTGCTAGCTAAAATGGCAGCAGCGCTCCCCATTTATAGGGCTCTTATGCAAATACAAGACACCTAAATCGTACAATGTGATTGGACTTTTCTGCACGTGGGTGTATCTTTCTCTGATTGGTCACAATACAATCCGTCTTCTCATTGGTCGTAAAAGCAACGACTGCTTACACCCAATCACCAACTGCTCATCCCGCCCAGGGAAGAGATAAAATGGGAAGAGGCGTTGCGTCAGTATGATTTTTTTGATCTAGTTTCTCGCTGGAAAGCTCTGAGGGGATTTTTGCGCGTCTAAAGTATGTCCGGTCGCGGGAAGCAGGGAGGTAAAGTACGAGCTAAGGCCAAGTCGCGCTCATCGCGGGCCGGGCTGCAGTTCCCCGTGGGCCGTGTTCACCGCCTCCTCCGGAAAGGTAACTACGCGGAGCGGGTGGGCGCCGGCGCCCCGGTGTACCTGGCGGCCGTGCTGGAGTACCTGACGGCCGAGATCCTGGAGCTGGCGGGCAACGCGGCCCGCGACAACAAGAAGACGCGCATCATCCCCCGCCACCTACAGCTGGCCATCCGCAACGACGAGGAGCTCAACAAGCTGCTGGGCAAGGTGACCATCGCGCAGGGCGGGGTGCTGCCCAACATCCAGGCCGTGCTGCTGCCCAAGAAGACTGAGAGCCATAAGGCTAAAAGCAAATGAGCTTGGCGAGTAAAGCTGCTTAGATTTTTCACGACATTGTAACCCAAAGGCTCTTTTCAGAGCCGCCCACACAGCCAGAAAAGAGTTGTGTTGCTTTGTTTAGAAAAGTCCTTTGGTACTGTTTCTTGCATGCAGCGTTTTATTAAGGAGCTAAACCTGTTTTATATCATTGCCTTAAAATTTCCAGCTTCTACCTGAGAAAGATGATGTATTTCCTAACTCGTCTTTCGTAATGAAAGAATGGTAATTATACTAGTTATATTGGTAAAATAGTTTTTAATGTTGTCGGTTCAACTGTCATGACTTTACAGGCTACTTATGGTGTGAAATACGGGGCAGGGGGAGAGTGGCTAAAAGACAAGCAGGTCAGGAAGAAAAGCTATGCAGCATGAAAGTAAACAGGAGACCATCCCAAACCCCTGTAACAACATGAGAAATGTAACGAAGTGCTTGCTTTGTAGGCCTTTCTTTAAAAGATGTAAAGCTTCCCTATGGCTTAATTCTATTGGGGGCTGGACTTAATCTTAAGAGGTCTGTTCCAAACTAAAAGATTCTTTATCTACAAACGAAATGAGAAATGCTTTATGGGAAAGGGCTTGTTTTGATCTAGATTCTTAACTAGTCAGACCTGTACTGTAAAGCAACAATGTAGCATTCTTCTGTTTAGAAGCTCCTTCCAGCACTGATTGTATTCCCAGTTTAAGTGGGATTTTCAAGCTTGACACTCTGAAATTCCCTTACTGTGTATAGCTATTCCTGTTGCATCAGTTAACAGTGGGCAATATTTTTGAATTAATATCTTACATTGTTAGCACAATATCACCCAAAAGCACAATGTTATGGCTCTTTAGATTCAGTTACAAATTGAGAAAGACTGTCTAGATGATTCCTCTTGCTAGGATGTTCCCAGAAGCTGATGGTATGCATCACACTGAGTCTATAGCTCCCACCTGTGCAGCACCTCTGCCCTCCCCAAACCCTGGGAAGAAGGAATGCTCTGGTCTTGGAGGAAGGAAAATACCACCTATAGCAAGATACTATCCCCTGTCCCTCTCCTTCCCACTCCTAAGCTGTAGCAGAGAGGCTTTTTAAGTAGAACTGTATGATAGCCAAAGAAGGACATTGGTGATCGTATGTGGAGAGAAACAAAGGAAGAGAGCTCTCTGGAGCACTAGACTATTCTGGTATGGTGACAGTATCTGTGCCCAAGGTTCTGCTTGGTAATGGATACATTTAGAGCGGTAATGTTTCCATTATGTATCCATTATTGATCTTCATTATGCTGTTTTATTGATCAATAGCTGCAGCTGCATATCTCCTGCACTTATACTTCTCTTACTGAAAAACTGTGATGATACAAAAACTGTGTTTTAATATGCACAAATCTTCTGTTTGGTTTACAGAACAGATCCCTGCATATGTGTGTGCAGAAGATCTCAGTCACTGAATGGTTTGGGTTGGAAGATGCCAAAGATCATCTAGTCTAACCCCCCTGCCATGGGCAGGGACATCTTCCACTAGATCAGATTGCTTTAAAGCCTCATCTAACCTGACTTTGAACACTTCCAGGAATGGGGCTTTCACAAATTCTCTAGGCAACCTGTTCCAGTTTCTCACCACCCTCATTGCAAACAATGTCTTCCTCATATCCAGTCTATATCTACTCTCTTAGTTTAAAATTGTTGCCCCTTGTCCTGTCCCGTCACCTGTCTTTCTACCTGCTTTGATGAAAAGTCTCTCCTCATCTTTGTATATTGCAAGGCTGCAATAAGCTCTCTGCAGAGCCTGCTTTTCCCCAGGCTGAACAGCCCCCACTCTTCTCTTCTTTATAGGAGAGGTGATCCAGCCCTCTGATAATTTTTGTGGCCCTCCTCTGGACCCACTCCAACAGGCCCATGTCTTCCTTGTGCTGGGGACCCAGAGCTGGATACGGTAGTGCAGGTGGGGTCTGACAAGGGTGGAGTAGAAGGGGAGAATCACCTCCTTTGAACTCCTGGTTGTTCTTTTTATGTAGTACAGGATATGATTCTCTTTCTGGGCCACAAGCATGCACCTCTAAATCAACACACAGGAATTCCAGATAAAGCTTATGGGGGTGGGGGTATCTGTATCCAGGAGTGGGATTTCTCTAAACAAACTCCTATATGTGGAAATCAGAGCTGGTACTACAGGAGAGGGCCCTGCCCTTCCCTGAGTGTGGAGGTAAGTTCATATCTCTCCAAATTCTTATCATCTGAGCAGAAATTATTTTTTTCAGAATTTTGTTCTCAACACTTATTTCCCTCATTACTGTGCTCACCTTAGTAACAAGAGTTTCACTCTGTGATACTGTTTTCCCAGTTATCAGGCCTAGCATAAAGGACACAGCCAGCATAAAGATGAACCAATAACCAAATTGTATTTGATACAAAAGGGTCAGTACAGGGGTGAGCACTAGGGGTACAAACAAGTCAGATTATACATAATTGACATCAATCCCAATGACCCCAACAACAACACCACACGACCAACAATGGAATAAATGGTGAAATGCAGTCTCCCATAGAAGGGACAGGAGACAACCAAGTCAACAAACCAAACACATAAGACCAAGGAAGCCACACACTGAATCTCTACACAGCCCACATTTACAAAAGCCAGACCTGACTGGAGCCCAGTCCCAGGGAGGCAGGAGGTCCTTCCCCAGCAGGAAACTCTACAAAGTGCTTCCACCTCACAGACAGACACTGCCCCTTCCTGCAGGTGGTCCCAGCTTTTATCCCTAAGTGGGACACCTGACCTTTGCTTACTTAATTTGGGACACCTGGGGTCATTTACCCAATGGCTCTCCCTACAAGGGTCGCACCCTGGAGGGAAGCCTAAAGGCAAACTCACCACCGCTTTGTGAAGGGCTGTGGGAATCACCCATATGTTAACCTTAATTTGGGGCTTGGGGTGGAAACCCCAGCATTTTATTCAGCCCCTTGACATATGGGTGGACCACAGCCCTCACACGATCTCTAAGTGTGACATCTTTATCTTGTATTTGGCTACAGACACTGCCACGGTCATCTCAGCTGTTTCTTTATATTGTTCACTGTTGTGGTCTTTATCACTGGAAGATCTGTGTGACTGTGGGTCTGAAGCTGATGTCACCTGCTCAGCACAGCTCAGCGTCAACTTGTATTCCAGTCCGCATGCTGCCCTTTCGGGTCGAATACATTTGTCACAGGAGTGATTTCATATTCCCAGCGGTGCCACACAAGATCTAGAAGACAAAACCTTAAACCATCATTATTATCACAAATAGCATTTATTTGCAGGGACATGTTCCCATTTTTTCTGTCCAGGCTTCATGATTAGGATGGTGTTATCTTTTCCTACAGCTATTACTTCAGCTGGCTCAGGGGGGCCACTCAGCCCTTGGACCCATACTTTTGCCCCATTACTAAAGTTGGTGGATCCAAATCCTTTGTCTCCACGAACAGTAGTGACTTGGGGTGGTTCTCCCTTCCTCACCATTGTTTTCAAAATCGGTAATATTAATAGCTGTGCTACTCTATCACTGGGTTGAAAAACTAAATCTTGTTCACCATTATTCAGCAGGATTACTTTGATCTCTCCCTGGTAGTCTGCATCAATCGCTCCTCCCATTACATGAACACCTTTTAGGGCTAGGTTTGAGCAAGCAGTTATTAAGCCAAAGTGTCTTGGGGGAATTTGGATTCCTATTCCGGTGTTAATAACCCCTGTCTGGCCTCGATTTATCTTTACCAGTTCTGATGCATAAAGATCTAGCCCAGCAGCCTCTGGAGTGGCCCAGTAGGGGGCCATTGCACCTGGAACCATTTCCCCATAGATTAAAGTTTCAGTTACAATTAGAGGCTTTATTTGTAGTTTGGGCATAGTCATACACATCAAGGGTGTCTCCATCTCCCCGATGGGTCTATTGTTGAGGGTGTGGAGAGCATCTGTGAGGTTAGATCTCCATCGGGATAGGTTTCCATTTCCCAGCTTTTTTAACTGCTCCTTTAAAAGCCCATTCATTATTTCAATTAATCCCACAGCCTGTGGATGGTATGGGATACGGAAGATCCACTGAATGTTATGCTGCTCTGCATATTGCAGTACAAATTTATTTCAGAAATGGGACCCATTATCAGTTTGTATTTGTAAGGGGATGCCATAGTATAGGATCATTGTATCTATGGTAGAGGTTGTACTATGGTGCGTGGCTTTTCTGCAGGGACAAGCAAGCAATCAAGTATCCTGAATATGTGTCAGCTTCAGTGCAGATGTATTTGCACCCTCGGTCCTGAGGTAAAGGGCTGATATAGCCCATCTACCAGATTTGTCCTGGCAATTTCCCTCTTCCCAATTCTCCTTTTACAGTATTTGGTACAGGGGTCTTATGTGTATGCTGGCAAACAGGGCATTAGGCAATTATTGTTTTGATCATATCCAGTGACATAACTATGCCACGCTCTTGGGCCCACTTGTAAGTGGCCTTTTCCCCAAGATGCCCACATTTCTGGTGTGCCCATTTTGCCAAGCCTTCATGGTCTCCTTTCTGAGGGAACTCCAGTCCAGCTTGGGAAACCTTTGCCTGGTTATCAGTGACAGAATTGTAAAGATGCTCAAGTGAATTTATATTACTATGAGCATCTACATGGAATACTGTCACCTTGGTTCTTTGAACCAGTTCCCAAATATCTTTCCATATTGCCTTTCCCCAGACAATTTTAGAATAAATTTTCCAATCTTTGGCTACCCATGTTGGCAGACAAATAGCCAATCCATTTGCCACTGACCAAGAATCAATGTATAGGTGACATTCCCCTGAATCCTCTTGTTTTAAAGCCATATATGGTGCATATAACTCAGAATATTGGCTACTTTCCCCTTCTCCTGTGGTCTCCAGAAATTTCCCTGAATTAGGATGATAAGACACTGCCTTCCAAAAACTTTTCCCTCCTATACATTTAGCTGACCCATCTGTAAACCATGTATGTTCCCTTTCAACAGATAGCAGCTGATCCAGGGTCTTCCCCCATCGCACAGGGGATTCCTGTTCAGCTATAGGATCAGGCTTTACCTCTTGATCCTGCATGGGGGCAGACACCACTTGCTCATGGAGGGCAGCAACACCACCAGGTCCCACCTTTGCTCTGTCCTGGATGTACCATTTCCATTTTATAATGCTTGATTCTTGTGCATGCCCCATTCGATGAGTCTCTGGGGAGCTTTTAAC